GCAGCAAATTACTTATTAAAACATGGAGAATAAACTATCAATATGTTTGAAAGCAGAAATTGTAAGCTATCAATAGGTAATTCATTTTTTATATTTAAGTTTAATATATTAGGACTTATATGTAACATGAATGGATATGAAATACTTATGAACATAAAATTCTGCAGAAAGCTAATGTTTTGATTTGTGTTACTAAAGTACTCATACTGTCTCACTGAGTTTCTCTTAGATGACTGAGAGAATTCTGAAACTCGAATTCTCTTCCTCCTCTTCTCCTAATTCAAGTAACAATGTGAGATGAAAATATAACTGGAAAAAACTGTAGTCAAGATTATGTTGTTAGTTTCCAAAATGAAGGCTGATCTCTTCCCTTTGCTCTAAAAACAAAAATAATAGATGAACAAGAAAACATTTAAAACACATAGCCACATCCCCAAATGAAATAGATACTTCTTGATTGACCAGCAATAGAAATAGTAGTCTAAGCAGAGAGCATGGCCTGAAGCGGTGAGGCTGCCAAACTTCACGTCTGGAAGGAGGCAGGAGGGGCCGGGAGCTAAGCTGCTGCAGGCAGGCACGGCACTACGGATGCCCAGGTGAGAGGCAGCACGCTAGTGCCAGGTTCCCTGCTGGAACAGACCACTTACTGAAAAGAGCCTGAATAAAGATACTAATAATGACTGTTAAGTTCTGCATCAAGGAAAGTGGGAGGACCCAGAGCCAACCTCATGATGGGCCCATTGTGAGGAATGTTGCTGGGTGACAGACCCTGCCCATACGCCTTCAGTGTGATTTCAGGGCAGCAGCCCTTAGATCCCAGCAGTGAGACCTAGTTTCAGACTGGGGGCTCTAGGAATCTACTGCATGACCTGTAGATTTGGGGGGGTTAAGCCACATTAGATGAACCTCCATAACCAAAATTACAAAATATATGCCAAAATCTAGCTTAATACTAAGAGAGACAGACAGCATAGTCATGATCATAATTAAGGTAAATTTATCCAAAGAGAATTAAAAATTAATAGAATAATTTTGAAAGCACTCTAAGTATTTTTTGTATCCTCAAAGATAAATGAAGGATATAATATTAAGAAGAAGAAATAATTATGAAATAAAAACAGGGAGAAATGAAACAAGAGCATGACTCAGAATTATTTAATTAAAAAGCTTAGAATGAAAAATATAATCATTAAAATTGAAAGCTCAGTAGACAGTAAATTCTGAACTGGACACTAGCAAAGAGGGTTAGTAAATTGGAAGGTAATGAGGGAAAAAGGCATCTAAATTATCTTTATGGAAGAGACTAGGTTGTCAGATGAAAAGTATACTCAATACTTAACAGGATAAATAAAGATCAGTGAACACCTAAACACGTGGTTGTCAAACTCAAGAGTGTTAAAGGATGGAAAGTAAATCTTAAAAGCTATCAAAAAGATTATCTACAGGGGAACAATAGTGAGGTTTACAATAAACTTCTCAGTGGCAAAAACAGATACCAGAATAAAGTGAACCGATATCTTTAAAGTGCAGAAGAAAGTAACTGTAATTCTATACCCAGATAAAATTTCGTGTAAGAGTGAATGCAAAATAAAGACATATTTCAACCACACAAGCTCTAAAAGTTTATTATCCAAACTCTTCACTGAAAGCACTACTTCAATTAAAGGCTGTACTTCAATTAGAAGAAAGGTGGATCTGTAGAGAAGTGGAATGCAAGAGACAGTGGTAGGCACTGAAATCAATATGTAAATTTACTTAACCATTTACTTTTTAAAACCAATGTATAGGGTTTTTGAAAAGATGAAATTAAAAACCTAAGCAACTATAACAGAACAATGAAGAATGGGGTTAGAGGCTTCCAGTTCAAGGAGGAGCAAAATACCTTAACCTCCTTGGATCTTGTTTAGGAAGTGGATAGCAGTAATTCTGACGTTGGATGTGTATGTTAAAATTAAAAGGGTTACCCCTGTTAGAATTGAAATACTATCTTTAGCCTATAAACCAGCAGAGAAGAAAGAGGGAGGGATGCCAGGAGAATAAAAAGCTTTATTAATTCAACAGAGGCTGAAAAGGGAAGACAGGTTTGGAAGAGGTAAACTTACAAAAGATGGTAAGCAGAAATATGGTAGACGATACATTCCAAAGATGATGGCAGCAGCATCTTCTGCCTCACATGCTCTTTGCCACTGCTCAATAAATAGCATGTGCCACAATTTGTAGTGACACTAAGTGGCAGTGCCACTAAGTGATTTCTAAAATTAGATCTCTTGAACCTTCATGCTGTGAGGAAGCTCATGCAGCTCAGAAGAGACCGTGAGAAGACGAATCAGACTCTGGTCCCTACCCCAAGCTGTGCACCCAGCTCACAGTCAGCACCAACTTGGCAGCCATTTTATGCTAGAAAGCTACCACAAAAGTGGATTCTCCGACCTCCAGACAAGCAGCACCATGTGAAGCCACATGGAGCAGAGACAAGCTGTTCCTACCAAGCCCAGCCCAATTTGTTAGCAAAACAAATGATTATTGCTATTCTAAAGTGCCAAACTTGGAAGTTCAAACATACCTCTGAGATATTGCAGGTTTGGTTCTAAAGCAAGTATCACAATAAAGGGAGTCATATATGTACTATAAACCTATAATAAATAGGTTGTTACTATTTTGCTTCTGAAATCAGTTTTCTTTTAGAATGATTTAAATTAAAATTCATTCATTTCCTTGTGTAGATCTACAGTTCTGTCTGCTTTCACATTCCTCTTATCTGAAGAAATTCCTTTGGCGTATCTTATAGCGCAGGTATACAAGTAATACATTGTCTCAACTTCTTTTAATCTGGAAGAGTCTTTATTCCACCTTCCTATTTGAAAGATATTTTTGCTGGTGATACAATTCCTACTTGACTCTTACTTCTGCCTTTTAATAGTGCCGCTCCATTTAGATTGAGTTGCATAGTTTCTCATGAGAAGTCTGCTGTAATGCTGAGCTTTGTACCTCTGTATTTAATCTGTTTTTTCCTTGGGCTGCCTTCAAGGTTTTCTCTGTCTCTTTGGTCTTCAGTAGTTTGAATATGATGTATCTAAGTGTGTGGCTTTTGTTTTATGGGGTTTTTTGTTTGTTTTGGGAATACTTTGGGGTTATTCTGAGTTTCTTGAATCTGTTGTTTGAGTCTTTTGTTATTTTAGGAACATGCTCAGCCATGATGTCTAAAAGAGTCTTTCAAGTCTCCTGTTGCATCTATCTAGACATTACCATTTTTAAAAATTCTAGCATTTTCATTTGTTACTTGTAGTTTTCAGCTCTGTTAAAATTCCCCATCAATTCAAATATATTGCAGATTCATGGTAGACTTTGCAGATCAT